ATTGCTGCAGTGATTGAATTTAAGTAACATTCAGAATATGGAATTTTCATTAATTTTTCCTTAGATAGAGCATTTCTATTATCACTCAATGCTTCATTAATCATATCATCTACGTATGTATTATATACTCCTGCTAATTCTTCAGAATTGAAATCCATTTAATCAAAAATAAATTTATAATTTTAAACATTTCTATTCATCAATATTTCATCATATGAACTTCTATACTGTGGTGGTGTACCTGTTGGATGATATTTCAAACCTTCATCCGGTGTCCATGTCCAATACGTAGTCCTAGTAAACCAAACCTGAGGAGGATTTGTCACCTTTGAACAGTAAGTGTCATTTTCACCCTGAATGATTGGATAAGCTTTCACTTGTACTGTAACTTGTGAGTTGAAAGTTTCTAATCCATCAAAGAATATACCCGCTCCATCACGTTGAACTGGAATAGTGCATAAGAATGAAGTTTGGTCTTTCCATGTTCTAGCTAATGGTGCCATTATCATCATTCAGTGGTCTAGTTAATGAGTCCTCGTATTCTTCCGTGCATTCATTCACTCCATCTAAATCAGAAGCTTGAAGCATACGTGTAAAGAATATGTCACCCACTGTGGTCATCGCTTGATCGGGGAAGTTTCTGGAATCTATAGTGACCTGAAGACCTCGAAGCATTGGATTTTCTAAAACTGTTCTTTGCATTGCATTCTTCGGAAATGTTAACACAACATCTGTAACATTATGAAGAGCGTATGAGAAATCTGAGCTAATACCTTCAGGAGTGATGCAACCTCCATTTAGTGAACGAACGTCAATATGTTGAGCTGGAATCATGAATGGATCTTCCTTACTGAATAAACGTGGTATTGCTTTAACTGATTCTTCAATTAAACCGTATCCTGGTGTAATGCATTTATCCTCTAAAACTTCCATCTTTGTGCATGAAATAATAACGTCATCAACTGTTGCGTCAGCAGATGTAGCGGCTAAGCTTGTAATTAATTTGGCAGGAAGTCCGATTTGTTGGAATTTGCGATCATATTTATAAACATGATTCATAATCTTTTCATAATTTTCATCAGTTATCTTTTCATAAACGTAATTTTGTAAATCAGCAACTCTTAACGGGTCAACCTGACAAAATACTAAAGTATCCCTGAAAACATAATATTTAAGAATGATTTCACCAAATGATTTAGGATAATCATCGAACGCCTGAAATGCTAACAAATCATTTACCGGAATAATCATATCAAAAGTGACATCAACTTCTTCATTTGCTTTCTTGAAAACTTCTGAAGGGTCAATATATTTACCACATACTGAGTTATCATATTTTTGAACATTATTATATAACGAATGAACAAACTTTTTAACTTTCCTTTCTGATTTTGGTTTATATGTTGCAAATGCGAAAGATTCACGGGCACAATCCATCTGAAGATAACCGGCATCACCTCTTTCGGTTTCTACTTCTAATTGTTTAAAGCTTTGATTTGATGATTTGTAACCAACGAATAAACGCATGCATTTAAAAGCGGCATCACATGTGAAAGCTTTATTTGAAACTAGAGTTGCTTTAACTTTGCGTTTAATATATGTGTCACCTAATTGGTTCACATCATGAGCCGGATTTGTAATTCTTAAATGAGTTTGTTTATCATCAAAATATGGAGCATCAGAGTCATAGCATGAACTTTCAAGTTCTCTATAATATCTTCTACCGTCATTCTTTGCGAATATTTCATTTATCTTTTCGAATGAATGAAACACATTTCCATTAATCGGTTTAGTGTTTGGCACCAAATAGTTAGTCGTCATTTATTAATAAATAAAAAATCAAAATTAAAAGATGAAAATGAATTTTTAATTTTAATGAAATAATCAACTATGGCTGCAGGATTTTTAAAAACTTGGGATAAAGTAAAAAGAGGAGCGCATAAAGTTTGGGAAACAATGAAGAAAGGAGCAAATTGGATATTTAAGAATAAAGAAGCAATTAGTGACGTTGCTGAATCAATAACACCAAAAGCCGCCCCAATAAGAGAAATATTAAATAAAGGAGAAAAAGTTTATCAAAGACTACAACCGATACTAAGATAAAAATAATATTTATTTTTCCACTATTTACCTCCTATTTTATTAAGTATTCCTTCAGCAATTCCACCAATTGCGTTACCTGCTTGTGCTCCCATCGCCGGATTACCTGCTTTAGTACCTAATACTCCACCTATGATAGTTCCTGCCGTTTTCGCTACTGGTGCCAAAAAGTTTGCAACGGGTTTAATAACTTTTTATAAACCCAACCCGCAGCTTTCTTAATTCCATCCCATAATTTTTTAAAGAATCCTGCCGCCATTTCTGATTTAATATTAATTAAAAAATATATTTCATCACTTATATTCTAATTTTTATTTAATGATAAATGAAACCGATTTTAAAAATAAATGAAACAGAGGAGGAAGAAATAAATGAAAGTGAAAATGTTCAACAAAAAATAAACGTTGTTAAACCAATTACTGAAACAAAAATTTTTTCATCTGTTGAAGAATTTAATGACTATTATGCTAATAATAAAAAATTATTTGAAGAATTGACAACATGTAAATTGAATAAAATGTTTAAAGTTGATGGATTCAAAATTTCAAAAATAAAAGGAGTGGTTAGTTTGAAATCTATTCCTCAATCAAGAATCACCTCATTAATGAAAATAGATGATTTAACAAAAAGAATAGAAGAGATTGAAGAAAGAATGAATCAAATATTGATTTCATAAATTCAAATAATCATTAGTTTCTAATTTTTTTACCCGTTTATGTGGTTTTTCATTATGACTCCGTTGATTCCATTCAGGATTTAAACAATGTTTAATTAATCGTGGAATAGCTGACATTATCTATATATAACTTCTTTTATAAGTGATGAAATATATTTCATTATGTATGGGCTGAGTGTAAATTTCTTACGATTCTGAAAATTTTTAAATCTTGATTTATTCAAAAACGTAAGAATAAAAACCGTAAGAATCATACATTTTTTACTTCATATGTTAAAAAAAATGATACAAAATCGTTCAATATTGTATGAATTCTTACGTTTACAAAAAAAGTCACATAACCCTCCACATATACTACTAAAGTATTCATTCACCAATAGCAGTTTTCGGTAACCACTACATCTAAAACAGAAAGCCATTGATAAGGTAAAACATATATTGAATTTTACACAATCTTATTTTGTACAAAATAAAATTTCGAATTTCAAAATTGATCAGGTCCCAGATTAATTACTAGATGTGAAATGAGTATGAATTCTTTGATAAAATTATTGCAAACATTCAGTTATATCTTTACAAATTTTTTTTGATCAAAGATTTATAGACTTGTCAAAAATAATTCTCGATTTATGATAAATGAATTATATGAAATGTGTATGATAAAAGTTACTTTTTTCGATGTTGCTTCCTTAGATTCTCTATAAATAGCATCCCTCTTCCAAGATAAGTTTCGGCATGTTTACAATTACCCATGTTCTGATGACCTGCATACATGCCACCCAATTAAGGTTGATTTACCAGCTGGAAGTTACCTTTTCGAACTTTGGGGCGCCAGCGGTGGCAATCTCTCCTCTGTTACAGGCGCCAGAGGTGGCATTGGTGCTTACACATCTGGCGCTATCAGACTCTTCCACAAGCAAACATTCTATCTTTTCGTTGGCTCCTATGGAACTCAAAATGACACTCAAAACCCATATAATGGGGGCAGCTCAGGAGTGAATACCTCAAACTCGTCCAGTGGTGGTGGCTGCAGCGACATCCGACTTAAGAACGGCACTGACTTCGAATCACTTAAATCCAGAATCATTGTCAGTTCTGGTGGTGCTGGTGCAGCCAAGTTTAGAAATTTTTATGCCACAGGAGGTAACGGAGGTATTTATTCAGGATATAATGGAAATAAAGCAAGCGAAACACATGAGGACAGTGTTACCATCCCTGAAGGAGGCCAACTCGAAAGAGGTGGGATTGCATCGAATGGAACACACGCAGAGGGTTATGCATCAACAGGGCTTCCAGGTGAATTTGGAAAAGGTGGTAATGTTAGAATAGAAGGAAATTATGGATCCGGTGGCTGTTGTGGGTATTTTGGAGGGGGTTCAGGTGATGATGGATGGGATTCTATAACATCTGGTGCTGGTGGATCGTCTTATGTTTCTGGGTATAAAGGATTTATGACGATTGATGAATCATCGGTATCAAAAACTAACTACAGAATGTTAAAATCACCCTTCCATCCTAGTGGATTTTATTTCACAGATGTGAAAGTTAAAGACTATCAGAGCGAATTCCTTTCTCCATACGGCTACAAAGAATCTGGCCATACAGGTCATGGTGCAATTGCTATAACACTTCTCTATACTGTTCAATGCTCATGTAATATTTTATACTCATTTCAGCATCTCTCCTATTCTTTTTTGCTTGTAGCGTTTCTAAGTTAAATAAAAAATTTCATCTTTGATAAGTTAAAAACCTTGGAACAACTTCTTTTAATATAGCAAGAAAATAAATACCACGAATTGCTGTGGATGAGCTGCTCTATGTATTGCAACAAAAAAAATTTCAAATATGTAGAACTTGAGTCAGAAAAGAACCTTGGAACAACTGCTTTTAATATAGCAACAAACTTATTTCCCATGATCCAAATATCTCTATTTCTCTTCATTTAGAATTAAGGCATTGCAAAAATGAAATAGCCTAACTAGTTAGAGAGGCTACAGGACTTTCGAGATATTTGTCAAATCACAGGAATACTGGTTTGACACTTTACAAATACATTTTGACACTTTATACGTTCTCCAATCCTCGAAAATTATTTGGCCACCACCAAAATCGTCCCCCAGACTACATGATATTGAGTAGCATCGAATTTTCAAATCTAGGGTCTCAGTAGTCTCCAGTTTTAAGGAAACGGATAACTCAAAAATTTCAAAAAAAAAAAAAAAACATGGAAAAACCAACAGATTCTTCCGTTTCAGACCAAAACATTTCAACCAAACCTAACGAATTGCAGCAAGACAGCAGCGATTCATCAAAAAATCAACAAAAAGGCTTTGCAGAACTTCAAGAATGGTGCAATAAATCTCTAGAGCAATTGGATTTTTCTTGTGCTCTACTTTCACAGTGTCTTGATAGTGATTTACGAGATTTAAATCGTCAAAGTGCAGTTTTAAATCAATGTCTTGAAAATGTCAATGAAATGAAAGCTAAAATTGAAAACCAATAAGATATTTAATTTAACATACAAATGACATTCAAAATTATCGTATAATTCATCATTGTTTTAACAATTCAAGAAGAATTTTTCCTGAATTAACTAATTAGTACTCATTTTATCAATAAGCACCAATTGAAAACATATAAATAGGTTAATGATCGGTTGTTAAATGCATTCACATCTACATCGTTGTATTGAATTTGTATCAGTATCTTGTACATGTCTAGTCAACTTTAACTGCTTAATAAACTGTTTTATTTTAATCATTCCATACATATTCACTGTTAATAATATTTTACTTTTTTATTTACCAATTTCCTTTTTCTTTAAGCTTTATAACCATATAATGGCTATCCTACCAAGACACTTTTTGATAGCTTACTGATTGAAAATCATTATAATGAATGTTGCTGAAAATACAGTAAAGCTTATTGCATCTTCTATTCGTATATCAAATATTCAAACACCCGAACTCATAAGATTATCAAATGAAACACAACAATTTATAATAGATATCGTTGAAAATGCAAAAGCAATTGCATTGATTTCAAAAAGATCACGTATAACGGCAAAAGATATCAATGAATCATTAGAATCATACTCCTATGAAACTTTGCTAGGATATGAACATATGAAAAAGCCTAAGATTACAACAATTCCTTTTTCAAAACAAGACTGCTTGACAATATTTGCAGATAAAAGACTTGAAATTAATGATGTTGCCAATTGGAAACTCTTACCATATCAATTAGCCCCTCATTTCAAAATTTTTCCTTTAATATTTAACGGGACAATCATTCAAACGCCAAATGAAGAGATTCCAAATGAATTAGCGGAAGAGACACAAATAGCACAGCCAGTAGAATCATATACCAGACTTACAGCGTATTTTCAGAAATCAATTTCTTATCTTTTTGAAGAAGAAAGCAAATTCTGTACAGTTATTGAGCACATTGCCAAAGACATGTACGTGGGTGAATTGTTTCCTCGATATATCGATTATATAGAAGATTTTTTAATATCATCTCAAGATGATTTCACAAAGTGCTTAAGAGTTCTAAGATTTCTTATAGCATTATGTTCTAACCCAGAATATCAAATAATTGAGAAAATAGATAATATTATTTCTTTTGGCTTGACATTTCTCACTTCTAATGAAGACAAAAGAGCCTCATCATTGATTAGATGCCAATTGTATCAAAAAGCTGTTATTCTGCTTTCAATTGTTACAAATTCCGTTAGCGGAATGCTTCCAGACATAAAAAGTTCTCTTGCAATCGAACTTCGCTCTGTAATGCAGTTGGAAAATGCCTACGCACTTGCCGGATCAATTAAGCTTCTTTCTGAAATGGGTCAAGATATTATTAGAATAGAAGTACTTCCAAGACTTAAGGAAATATACTTGTTATGTTTAAATGAAAAATTCACTCAGGAAGAGAAGAATATTGCGATGTGTGAATTCCAGAGTGTTTTGGCGCAAATTGCTTTTGATCAAATCAGTAACTGCTATTTAACAATTGCATCAAGTTCAGATTTTGATAGTCAAGGCTTTTTGGACGACTTTCTCAGTGTTTCTAATTACTCTAATTATGTTTTCGATGAATTTATATAATAGTATTTTGTTTGTAATAAAATATCATGCTTATGAAAATTTAATAATATTGACTTAAGATTATAAGATCAAATTCATTGTAATGAGATTTGGATATTTCATTTGATTCTTATTGATATATTATCACTATGAATAAATTCAAGAGTAGATAGAAATCAATATGGTATGCGCACACTCTTAAAATGATATACAATTTCATTCAAAAAATCAAAAGAGAATATGATCGCATCGTAAAAAGTGACAGATTTTATAAGATTTTATTTCAAAATAATGAATGGGTATGAATCATTAGTAAAAAATCTTATTAATTCTTCAAAATCGAGTCTCCATTTCAATCAGGATCAAAAGCTACAGTATATTGGCCAATATCTTCATCATTTTTATAATGACCATCTTGAAATACCATCAATAGTTGTTGCAGGCACAAAAGGAAAAGGATCAACATGCGCAGTTATTGAATCCATCCTTAGACATTCCGGATTAAAGACAGGACTCTTTACTTCTCCTCATCTTGAAACTCCTCGCGAAAGAATAAAAATCAACGGAGTATCAATATCAGGTGATGAATACATTTCTTCTTATCATAATATTACTTCCAAATTAAGTACGAGCGGATTCAAACAACCGCCATTCTTCGGCTTACATACTCTTATGTCGATCGATGTATTCGAAAAACACAATATTGATATAGCAGTTATCGAATGCGGTGTTGGTGGGCGCTTCGATTGGACAAAAATTTATTCTCCATTGACATCAGTTATTACTCATTTAGAATACGATCATTTAGAAACATTAGGTAAGACAGCTCAATCAATTGCATGGCATAAAGCCGGAATTTTTGCAAAAGATATTCCTGCATTAACTGCTCCTCAAAATAAACCTTTCATGGATGAGTTAGTAAGGTGTGCACAGCTTGAAGGTACAGATTTGAAGGTTGTCTGCCCATTTTGGAATGAAAAAATGGGACTTCATGGTCCAACAGCTAAAGAAAACTCATCTCTTGGCATTGAAGCAGCAAAAACAGTTGCAAAGAAGATCGGAATATCTCACCTCAAAGGGATTGCAAAAGGAGTTGAAAATGCAAAAATATTTGGAAGATATCAAGAACTAGAAAATAAAGGAATCAAGTGGTTACTTGATGGAGCGCACACAAAAGAAAGTATATTATCCTGCCAACAATGGTATGATTCCCTTTCTAGAAATCCATCGAATGACTGTTTGATCGTTTCCACTACCAAAGAAAGAGACCCGAATACTATGCTTAGACCACTTTTGACAAAGGGATTCAAAAATATCTTCTTCATCAAGAAAGGCCACAAAGATTTGACAATTTCACCTCATATTTTAGCTTCAACGCCAGAAGATGCAATAAGAAGAGCACTGGCTACAAATCCAAAAGGAATCTTAGTTACAGGAAGTCTTCATCTTGTTGGCAGAACATTAAGAGATATTGGGTTCCCAACACCTTAAACTTTAAGAGATTGTATGCAATGCACCAATCAGAGCCTTATGGAGCTAAGATTTTATGATACTACTCAAATATTTTTGTTATTTTATTTGAAAATCTATAATAAAATGTTTGAATATCTATCTATAACTGCACAATTCACCTATTATTGATTGCTTTTATCCCTATTCTATTTACAATTTAAATCCAAAGAAATATGATTTTGAATCAAACATTTAATTGAGATTGCAAACATACGACTTATAGATTTTCCCAGAAAATAAGGGATAGACCTTTAAATAAAGGCCATCATACATATTCTTATTATAATATTTCTTTATAATACAATATTTTCCCAGTTATGAAAGGAAAATTTTGTTAATAAGGTGTATTCGAGCAATTATATTTTCACAATTACATCACCTATTCGGAAATTTAGATATCGTTTTCTTTTTTTGCTTTAAATAATAGTTTATGTTATAAAATATTGACAATAAACATCTATATTTTTATTTTCTAATGGATATAAGCTAAAATTTTTTCAATTAATTCCATGCATCGAGCGTTAACTTCTGACGTTGATTTAAACCTCGGCTGGCTAAGCTTGTTAACTTCACGCATGATTTTCTGGAACTTTTCATCAGGAATTTCCCAAGTTGCGCCAAAACTTATTAATTGGAGCTGAGCAGCGCAAGCGAGAGCCTGGAATAGGATATTCTTAGATTGCTGCTGTTGTGTAATGTTTCCTGCTTCGGGCTCATCGAAATCGTTGTTTGCTAAAACGATTGATTGAGCACGAACCATGATTTTCTTTAAAATCGTATCAACTGTCAAGTCCTCCTCTTTCTTTTCGAGGTCTGTATCAGCTTCATGCTTTAGCATAACAAGATGGTGAAGAGGAACCCAGCATGGCTTAAAATCTTGTAAAAAGAAGGCGACTAATGCGTGAGGCTTACTATCGAATTCCTTTAAAGCAATAACCCTACAAATGATGGTTGGACCTGATTTAGATTTGAGGACGGCAGCCAAATCTCCTGGGATAATTTCATCAGGAGATCTGCACGCGTGGGGAAAATTAATATCTATTGGTGGAATAACATCGATACGTGTCTTGTTTGGAAGTAATTCAGATCCTAAGCCATTAGCTACAGACCTTGAACGTGTTGTTAATAATGGTTTTTGCGGAGGAGTTTCTTTATCTGCATCTAAGCGACTGAATTTTGTTCTAAATTTGAGTGGGAGTGAGTCTTGAGGGTTGGTAAATGGTAATGATAAGTTTGTCATGGAATGTGCTGATGACATCGTTTGCTGATGAATATTTCGCTTAGCTCTTGCCATCGTTATAATCGCTACATATTGCTGATTTGCCATTTTTGCAATTTCTTCAGAACTTGTCGTTCCATCAGTTAGATACTTTTTAAATCTTTTGATAAAAGCTCGAATTTCGGCAAGCGGACGCCTGCTGCAGTTTTTAAGTAACATATCATTGCTCTGCTGCCCAATCATGAAGACGGATTTGATGCTTTCCACCTCATCCGCTGTGAAGGACTGGAACACAGACGACATTCGAAAGGTCTTTTATATCACTTTTTATACAGTTTTTGCTAGATATTGTATAATAATACATTTCAAGATATATATGTTTGATTTTATGAGGTTCTATTCATAGAAAAATTTGATCAATTTTTAAATTACATCTATTTTCAATTTTACAAGGTTTCCTCCAAATACTTCCATGGAAGAATATTTCCATAAGTATGTCAACCAGAAAACTGATTAGCAGCAGATTGAGATTAGGAGAAGTCATGGTATATTGACTTAATTTTACAACACAATGCAAAGACGACAGTAATCAGATCGTTGAATCATATAATTTAATTGATTACAGAATTTATCGCGTTATCTTTCATTAGATATCTCATAAAGTTATCGATTCAGTGTTACATCAGGAAGTATCATATGTAAATTGTTGGATTTCTTGATTAAATATCAACTTTAAAAAATTTCATTAAATAACAATAATTCCCTGATTGACAATCAAGATCCATACTTCTCATGATCACAAAAAACGTTATTTTCTAATTTAGATCCAAATGAAGTAAGAAAAAATAAATAAAGAATCATTTTTATTTTATTTCAACAAAGAAAACTGTCCTCTAATAGCAGGTGGTGAAGCAGGTGTTTTTTCGAATCTAGAAACACCATTATCCTTCCTTGAAAGAGCGACAAACAAACCAACTAATGCCCAGCTCTTAAATGTCTGTTTACCTTCATTATTTGTATCTTCTGTTGCTTCTGTATCTATTTTTACATCTCTTGTCTTTGTTTCTCCGCTCTTTGTCGCTGATTTAGGTGTACTAATTTCACTTTTCTCAGGAGTCTTGTCACTTTTTGCTGGTGAAGTTCCCTTCTTTTGCGGTGAATTAACTTGTGATAACAAGTGAGATTTTTCTTCTCTCAAAGTTGTTATCATATCAATCATCTTTGTTCTATTACCCGAAGCCACACAGTAGTCCGCGAGTTTCTGTCTCATCTCGTTATCAGAGATTCCTCCTTTGTATTTCGGATCGAGAGATTTGAGAGTTTCTTCAGCCCATTGCGACCAAAGAGTTCTTTGTTGTTTCTTATCCAATGACTGTTCCAAGTTCTTTATGTGTTCAGTCATTGCTTCAACAGTCTTGTGAACTCTCTGTTTAGTCCATGTGACTTCTTTTCCAATGAATTCATCCAATACTTCTCCAACTTTGTCGATAAATGTTCTTTCATCACTTACTGACATTGATGACTGAGAAACTGTTTTAGAAGGAGAATTAATTGATCTTGTACTTACCTGTGGACTTGTATTTGTATTCCTCAATCTGTTTATTTCGCAGAGAAGTTCTTTGTTCTTAATTCTCGCGTCACTGAGTTTCTGCATTAAATCATCAATGATTTGGTTCGACATCGGCTCATTCTGAAGGTGTTCAACAGTTGTACTCAAATCTAGTTTGTCCTGCTCCAATCTTCTCATGTTTCTCTGGAATGTCTGTGCTTGTTTCTTGAGATTTCTCTCGTTTGTCATGTGCTGCAACTGTTCTTCTTGTATCCTTGTGTTCAAATCACTCACTTGCTTCTCAAGGACATTTATCTGTTCTTCATATCTCTTCTTCTCTCTTTCTTGTGTCTGTTTCTGAATTGCTCTCTCTTTTTCTATGAGTTCATTCAATCTTCTCTCGTAATTGTTCTGTTTGTTTTCGAGGAGTTGTTCCAGTCTCTGGTTCTCTTGGTTCAGTCTGCTGATTGTGTCCTCGAGTGTCTGCTTCGATGAGCTCAAGATCTTGTTGTTCTTGGATGCTTCATCAGTCATCATTGTCAACGCTGACTCTGATGTCTTCGAGTCTTCCAGATCTGATGCTAATTTCTCAAGCTGTTTCTGGAGAGAGTTGATGACTTTGTCTTTATGGCCAATTTCGTCCTTAAGACCGTCATTTTCTCTCATTAAAAGTGACTTCTTCTTCTCAAAATCAATTGTTGCATCTGTAAGTTCTCTCTTTGACACTGTATCGAGGTTATCGAATGTATCCTTGTATTCTACCAACACATCGATGAGTTTCTGTGGCATGTCAACGATCTTTCCGTTGAATTTGATCAATGGTCGGATTTCATCATCCATTACTTGGAGAATTTGGGATGTTTCCTCGATGTACTTGCACAAACAGGCGAAAATATCTGAAAGAGAGCCGTGGTAGTGGAGTGTTGAGCTAATTATTGATAATAAATCTTTGAAGACCGGTTTCATCTGCAAAAGGTAGGTAGATAATGCTTCTGGTAATTCATGGGTCTTGCAGTCGAAGGCAGGAAGGACTTCTCTGACTTGTTCAAGATTATCGAACATTTTAGACATAAATTCTCTTTCTCTTCTAAGAACTTCAGTCAGAACAGCAGATAATTGGGTGTCTGAGTTGAAATCTGGGTCGAAATTCTCTTCTGGGTTCAAAAGATACTTCATAACTTTATCTTCTGTTGCATCGCTGTAAGAAAGGGTTCCAAGGAACAATCTCGTCTTCTCTATCTCATGTTTGATGTCAGACTTCATTGTTGAGGTGAATTTCAGTGGATTTTCGCGTAAAAATTCGAGATTTGCTTCTCCTGTTCTTAAAAGATTGATGATGAACAAACCGAGGCCATCACAGATTGCATTCAATGCACGTAAGTTCTTTGCTGTCTCTGGATCGATTCTTGTGCCAGATAATTCGTGGCAAATCGAAGGAAGTTGATCAGGAGTGACAGAATAGGCAGGAGCAAGGCCTGAACATGCTGCTTCAACAATTCCGCGGAGTTTGACCAGTTCTTCGTTGTCTTTGTTGGAATTCTGATCTTGAGTTTCGATTCTGTCCTTCAACATGACATTTTCATCGCGTAAATCGGCTAACTTTCTGTTGAGATCTTCAGTGACGTTGCTCGAGTGAACTAATTCGTCTTCGTACTTGTCGAGAAGATAATTTTGTTTATCGAGAATTGTTGTTGCTTTACGATTAGCCTGCGTAAGGATTTCGATTTGTCCTGCTTGGTTCTTGATGTATCTAGCGAGTTTCTTCATGGCCGCGTTATTCTTATCTTCCAACAAATTATTTTGAGACATAAGGGTTGTAGAAAGCTCGAGGGTTTCTCTCTCCTTCTGATCTTTGAAGTCTGAGAATTGTTGATCCTTAGATTTGAGCTGTTGTCTGTATTTATTGATAAGTTGATTCTTTGAAGCGATTGTAGCCTTAAGTTCCTCGACTTCGCGCTTGTGAGATGATGAGTCATCGTTTGCAGCAGCTAAAAGCTTCTTAAGATCTGTAATTTGTACTTCAGCAAGTTTTGATTGGTCAATAGCGTTCTGCTGGCTGTCAGCAAGCTGGGAATATTCGAATCTTAATTTGCTGATATCCTTTTTGTGTTCGTTGGCTTGTTGAGTGAGTTTATTTGTTAATTCAATTTTTTCTTGGAATAACTTCTCGTATTCGTCTTGTTGGACTTTAATTTCATTAGAAATATCGTCCATCTTTTGCTGGAGCTCCTGATTTTCACGTTGGAGCTCTATAATCTGGAGTTTAGCTAATGTAATATCCGTTGGATTCTGAGCGAGCAATGCGGCGTAGTCCACAAGTCTCTTAGATCTTCCCAGAGATTTGGATGCTTGTTCTGAGCTTTCCTTTTGCGTTTTATAGTCATTTATCAAATAACGAGTTGCTTTTTCGCATAACTGGCTGACTTCTGGTGTGAGATCTTTAATTTCAGCTGATAAAAATACGTTATGAATTAATTTGCCTAATTTTGAAAGGGAAGGAATTTCTGCAAATAATTCAGTCAATTCAGGTGGAGTTGTTGTATATGAGTCTGCTAGATACTTTGATAGGGCATCAGTGCTTCTGACGTCTGCGTTTTCAGCAGCCATCTGGAAGACTGAGCCTTTTTTAGGACTCTGAGGTTCTTCCATATCTATACACTTGTCACTTTTCATGTAAAATATCTTTTTTTTATTGAGGAATTGTTATGTCATACATGAAAGCTTCTTTTTAGGAAAATATTGTTGGGCTAGACGAAACACTGGATTTCGAAACAGCATAACGAGATTTTTCAAAAGCGAATTTTTATTGAAATTTCTTATTAAGTCTCCATCACGCCATTTCATTGGAAATGAGAATTTACAGCATGAATATTGTCTATACACTGAATAGAAGTGTCTGAATTTAAGAGTTATTTTTATTTATGAATAAACAAACAGTATTGTTTGAATAATGATGCTCTTTTCTAAAAAACGTATAGTCTATCTCATTCACATGTAAAATAATATAGTCTTCTATAATTATATTTTTATTGGCTTTGTAAAAGATTAACTGCCTTAATTGTTGCTTCAACAGGAAGCCCTTGGATTGTATCGAGATTGCCATCAAGCTTGCAAGCACTAATTTCAAGAATATCTTCGGTAATTAATGCGCCAGAAGAATATTTGGTATATTTGCCATTGATGTATTTATCGAATTCCTCTGGAGTTAAATCTCTTGTCATAATAACATGCGAAACATGAACTTCATTAATTCTTTCGCCTGTATCTGTGCGACCAATAGCTAATGCTGTATAAACTGATGTAACACGATCTTTTGCTGCCCATAATTTAACCATTCTAACTAAATCATCATGGTCAACAGGTTTTTCTAAAATTTGATTGTCATAAACAACAACTGTATCATAACACATTACAATAGCTGGGTCTCCAGTAACCATACTAAAGATTTTGTCGAGTTTTCCTTTAGCAATTGCAGATACATGCTCGGCCGGATCCTTTGGATGAGCTTCACGTGCTGCTGCCTTTTCGTCAATGTTTGCTTCCATCATCTCGATTGTCATGTTAAGAGCTCTTGTTGCAATTTCATGGCGCCATTTTGATGTTGATCCTAAAATGATCCTCATTAATAAATAATGAATTTTAATCATTACACAATCATCGCTCTTAGATAGTATGCTATGCTATATCTTTTAATTTCTTCAAAGAGTAAGCCTTATCCCATATGATTTTGCCATTTTTATATTTTTCGATCCTTATATGTTGCTATTGCATACTGCTAATAGTTATAAGAAAATAACATATTTTCAAGAAATATTGGAAATCTCAAAAAGTAACAATGAATAAATGAATTTATCTTTTTTGGATTCTTCAGAGATTGAGGACGCAAAATTTCCAGAAACATATGAAAATGGAGATGCACAGTTCCTGGACATTGTTGAATTCCAAGAAGCATACTCAAAACTCAATAAAGAAAATGTTTCACTAAAAATCATTATAAAAAATCTAATGAAGCAACTTCAAATGTTTGCAAAATCAACACAATATGAAGATACAATAACAGAAATCATAATATCCAGTCAAAATAAAATAATGACACTCAAAAATAGACTTAATATATTAAACAAGCAAAATTACAATATATCAACACGATCAAATGTAGCAACACAGTCAAATAACGATATTACTCACAAAAATCCTCAACAAAAAGAATCCAATTTCCAAATTACAAAAAACGAATCAAATTCATCATTAAGTGACGTTATTATACAACAGAATAAAGAAATTGAAATGCTCAAAAATCATTTATCAGATCAAATAGAAGAATCAGATCGTTTACGTCAAGAAATACTAGCAAGTCCCAAACACATCTCTAGCTCATTAAGTTACTCCGACTCCTTTGCAGTAAATAAGGATTTTTTTCAACCACAGCTTAAATCAGTTGGATGTCAATGTGATCTAGACGATATCGTAAAATTGAAGTTCAATATAAACATTCTTTCTAAGAGTATGCTAGGATTCATACAATTCGTCAACTCTTTTTTTAATATTATTATCCCAAATATTAACTTTCAAAATGGAGACTATTTTCATGAATTAACTACACAGTTTGATAATTCCTTGAATATATTAAAATCAGAAATGCCAAAATTAAAATTAATTCAAAATCCTAATAATTCTCCAATATATTCGCTTCTTAATCTAGTTAAAGAAACAGTTAGCAATTCCTTAGGACAAATGAAAGAAGATCATGATGAAATTGTTCTCAAACTCACTGAAATTGATGAAAAATTACAATAATTTTATGCTTTTAATGTATGATTATGCATATTTAGTGCATTTTAATACGTTGTTATGCCAACACAAACTCATTTCCAATTAATTCATTGTTATTTGAAATTAATTTAGCTTAACTTCTTTACAAAAGCCATGATATTCTTATCTATGCTATAAAAAGGAATCTGAAGATATTTTAACCTAATTAGATCCTTAATTTGCAAAATATTTTTATATTTTGGTGGAAAAATCTTTCAAACAGATTAGATATTATTGTTTTGTAATTAAAACCATGCGTATTTTAAGAAATAGCTTTAACAAATATATTTTTATTATTATTACAAAAAAATTTTTCTTATGCATCAACTCCTGATCCAGAATCTTCAGTATTTGATTCATTTTGTTCATTAGAAGAACTATCTTTCTTATCTTGGGTAGATCCATTTAGATCTTCATTATCTGCTGGATCTTTTTCAATTACTTTTGTCTCTTTAGCAATCAGAGCACAAATTAGTGATATAACTAATGAAACAATACAGAAAAACCAGAGACCCCACTTGTAACCATACCAATCTCTTATAATATTGTTTTGTGCGTCTTTAGTTCTAAAACCAAGAGTTGATATCTGCTGATAAATTGCTGCAGCAACGAATAAAAAGAAGTTACCAAGTCCAACTGAAGATCCCGCAACTTTTGGATGATAATACGAGCAAACTAAAGGATAAGATATACTTATACAAGGAGCTGTGAAGAATCCAATTAGAATATAGAGAACCCAAATGGCAGCGTTTGTTAAACTTTTGCCTCGAACGAACAATGGAATAATTGCAGAAATTGCAAAAGTACTTGCTGCAACTAACATCCACTTCTTTGTACGCAATAAGTTTGGGATGTTAGGAAGAATTAACGATCCTGCAATTACCCCAATTGATAATGAAATCATTGTGGTGCCATATTTGTCGCTATCATAGCCTAATATATCTCTGAGATATGGACCTCCCCAGTATGCAGCTACATCAAAGTAAGGACCAGATGAAGTTGCATTAAATAATGTAATTACCCAGAAATATTTGTATGAAAGGACTGTCTTAAAATTGGACCACAACAGTTTCATTTTGTCCTTAAATGAAGATGGTTCATCCGAAGATGAAGTCAATTGATCGTTCACTGGCTGATAACCTTTGGAAATTGGATTTCCTCTAACGAAAAAGAGTACGAATACTGATAGTATTCCACTTATTCCTCCAATGCCATATAGTGCAGCGTTCCATCCATATTTATTTGCAAATTTTACTAATGGCAATGATGCAAGTATTCCACCAGTCCCTGAAAGTGCAACAAGAATACCCATGTATATAGGCAAATGCTCTAGTTTGAACCAATTTGTAATAACACGACATGTTGATACATAAGTCGGTCCACATCCCAAACCGACAAGCAATCTTCCGAAAATACCAACTGCAAGTGATTTAGATGCTCCAATTATTATTGACCCAATTGCAGCAATGCATCCAGTGACACCTACAATAATTGTAGGATCTAACAGATCTGCAAATAAGCCTGCAAATGGTTGAGAACATGCATAAAGGTAAAAGTAAATAGATGAAAATATTGTAATTTTGTTCTCTTCGACATTGTATTCTTTAGCAATATCTTTTTGTAAAACAGATGTACATTGTTTGTGAAAAGAAACGAGAGTATATAGTAAAACTAAGGTACTATAGGTGTACAATCTAGTAATTTGAAATTTAAATCCTGATGGTGATTTCCCTAACGAAGATTCATCATCGCATTCCATTTCAATTGAATAGAATTGAAAGTCTGGATTGAATTGTTTCAAATTTTTGAATGAGAAATGACAAAAAAATATTGTTGGGATCAGATAACGAGTTCATTATAGCATATAAAAATATGAAAAGATAAATGATGTTGAATTTTTTTCTTTGAAATTATTCTGAATATAAAATTTTAAATAAATTTCAAATTCGATAATAAAATATTGATTTGAGCACAGTTGATTAAAATATTTCTGGGGTTGTTTCGATCAATTTTTTCCCCTATACATCGGTTCAAAGCTTAATCACAGCTGTCTTATCTCTCATGATGAAATATAAATATTGGTTTAAATTTTCAAAATCTTTGTAATTTTACGAATATCAATTCCAATTTCGAATCATTTTATTGCATTTTTGTCTCTTTGTTGCTGCTATAGGCGAAGATATTTCAGTATGAATCATCTGTAGAGAAGTTGAAAAATTTTATAGATTAAAAATGAGAGAATCATGGTTTGGTTATAAAATATTCAATAACATAGAGTTCAACTCCTTCTGTATAATTCGTAGACCTATAATTTTTTTATCATTCTTTTTGGATTGGAAATTTTCCTAAATCAAGTTTCCAAAATCATTCCATACATCATATACAACCAGCAATTATATAATATCCATTACATCCTATATAAATTCCATAAAATTTTAAATGATATTGATAAAATTGTTAAAAAATTCACAAACAAATATTAAGGAAGTTACTAATTTTACTTCTATTTCTATACTATATATACAAATAAATAAAACATCAAAAAATTATTTCTCATCTCCATAAGAAGTTGTCAGAAGCTCTTCGTATTGTCTGAGGTCTCCTCTAATGAATGTTACAACGTCGTTTAACGAAAACAACATTGTGTGCAATCGCTGGTTCTTTGTTGTCGCCAATAAGAAAGCTTTAATTATTGCGAAAGCAGCAACGTGCAAAATACCTTTTGTTCTATCACTAGTCTCTTTTATAAGAGGAGGAACAAAGATAATTGCTGCCTGCTCGCAAATACTTGGGATTGCGCTTAAAACTTCGCAAAGATGGAGAGCAGCCAGATGGAAGAAAGAATTGGATGGATGACGAATAATAGTATTCAATACAGTTTGCAAAACACTAAATTGAAGTTCATTTGGACATGCCGGAATTACATTTGTAATAACTTCAAGAGCTGATACATGGTAAGGGCATAAAGTAGTCGGAACTTCTGAAAATAGATGAAACGCTTGGTATAAGAATACCATGCAGAATGAGGGTTGTGTTTTTTTGCAAAATGAGGAAATTGCATCCCATCGAGCGTCATGAACGCGTTGAGGTACTTCTGCATCAATACTTAATGATTGCCATACATCATCGGAAACAAATTGCTTATCATAAACGTTATTATCAATGGCCACTTTAATTAAGTTATACCAGGCAACTAATTTGGATGTCGTGGGGTCTAAAATGTTATTGAAATCGATAGTAGATGCGTCAATACGACGTATATACTGTGAAATAAGAACTTCTAAATGCAAATTTACAATTGCTTGCCTATTACGAACAAATCTGTCTGGAAATGTATATATTGAGTGATATAAATAATATGTGGCTAAGAAATTAACGTCGTTAAGCAAGTTAACGAAGATTTGGCAAGTTTTTTCTGAATTTTTTACCGAAGCTGAGAGCGTAACGGTAGCAAGCATTGAATATCTACTGATTAGAAGGGTATTGGGCGATTCCGTTTGGAAAATTTTCGGATAGTATTCGAGAATTAAATTATTATCAATTATATCTTGCACGAAAGCATTATTAATTACTGTTAAAATTTTGTATGAAGCTAAAACATATGGTTTATCATTTGGTTTAAGGGCATAGTAAAAGGCTTTTCTGATATTCCTCCTCATTATTCGATTAAAAAGCTCATCTCCTGATTGATAAATAGTGTAACAATAAGGGTGGGTTAGAAGAACCTTAATATCAGCCCCTTTTTGCATGAGGCCGAAAAATTGATCATAAATCTCAGACATCGCCATTTTTATATGTGTGAAAAAAAAAAAAAAAAAAGGTAGTGGGGCCTCCAGGCACTTCGTGCCCTCTAGCCCTGAAGATGTTTAGTATAACTTTGTCCGGACAAGTAAGGGTCTATCGTCGCTACAGGAAAAGTTACAGGCGTTCCAAGGAAGTATACTTTGAGAAGCCTTTTCCCCCTTATAGAATGAGATAGGATGGTTATTTTACAAAACTGACAACACTTTGACCGAGTAGTTTTTTGTGCTGAACAAAAAGTGTCATATAAACATCTGTCAAAAACCGCTTTTTAACTTCACTTAAAATGCCACGTAAGCTACGTAAGAATATACGTAAGAGGAAGAGAGCATTGAAACATCCAATAGTAAAACTGACACCACAACAACAGTTGCAACAACAAATGATGAATGACCCCACTATGTTGCAACAAATGTCAAGCAACCCTATGCTTTTAAACCGAGTTATTGGTGCACAGAGTGGGGGTTTAAGAGCGGCCCTTTTAGCGAAAATGGCAGGCTATGGTGGAGCTGCAGACGGAACAGCTTATAACCCTCAAAGTCAAATGAATTTGAGTTCACTCAAAAATCAAATAACAGATGTCAAAAAGTCAAACATAGACATACAGAAACAAATAAGCGAAAACGAAAAGAAACTAGAATATGACAGACAGACAAAGAAACTAAATGAGTTAAACGTAGAGAAAAAGAAGAAAGAAGAACAACTGAAAGAACTAAGTACAGAGGAATATGCGAAAAAAGTGTCAGAAAAAGCAGCAGAAGTAGCAAAAATGGAACAAGATGTTATAAATTTGAAAAACCATACTACTCAATATAAAGTACTGAAAGATGAAGAAATAAAACAAAAAGCCCTGAAGACATATATGGATAGCGATGAGTATAAAAAAGAAGTTGAAGCAAATGTAAAGGCAGAAAAACTTTTACAGTTGCAAAACCAAACCGTACAGTATGAAAACTTAGCACAAGAAAGTAAAAATAACGACGCAGCCATGCAAAAGGCAATGAAAAGCGCAGAATATATAAAAGCTAATAATGACTGGTTAGATGCCCAAGCCAACGCTAAAGCAGCCCAACTTATAGGGTCAATAAGGACAAAAATACAAGCGGATGAAGACAGTTCAAATGAAGCTTTAATGAATGCTGACTTTAAGAACGCCTTCGAAGCTCTTCATAGTAAGGTGAAACTAGTGAACGACTTCTCATCTGGAAAGAAACTGAAGTCTGAAGGTTTCGACAAAGAGTTAAGAGAAGTAGCACAAAATATGACGAAAATAACAGATGCAGCAACGAGACAGGCAGTTCAAAGTGCCTATGACGCCGTTAGAGCAACTGTTGTGGAAAGTCAAGAAAAAGAGTTACAACAGACCAAAACAGACCTAGTAAATGCTTTCTTAAGAACGAAAAGTCAGGTAGGACATTATGCTGCAGATGGAACATATGTGCCAGCTGGTGGAACTTATATACCACCAAACCCTCCAAGAGAAGCACCTGCACCAGGACTACCTAAAACATTTACATCGTCACATGGACACAGACACAGGCATGCACCAAATCCAGCACAACAACCACCTCCACAACCAGCACAACAACCACCTCCACAACCAGCACAACAACCACCTCCACAACCAGCACAGCAACCAACAGTTCAAAACCCTGCACAACAACAACCACAAACAGAGCAAGGACATAAAAGAAGTAGAGAACAAGGAAACCAAGAATTCTTAAAAATGCTTAAGGAAGATTATGGTTACCCAGATACTCTTGACTTTAGTGACAGATATAAAGAAGCTATTAGAAAGTTCAAGGAAGGAAATACTGACCCGAACCTATTTAGCTTTATGGTTCAGCACCAAATGGGATATAATTTCAAACCTGGAAAATACAAGCTCGCTAAGGGATATGATTTAATAGCATATCATCCAAATGACATGAATGAATTTACTCCGAGATATTTGGTGTCAGAGCTAAATGATAATTCAACTCTCTTCATGAAACGCGTAAAAAATAGAGACGGAACGAAAGAAGAAAGGTTTATGAGTCCGGATGACTTAGATAGGGAACTTTTTAAAAACGGTCTCGGAATATATGAAATGCCAGCAGATGAGGTACAAGAAACTCAACAGGAAGAAGTTCAGATACAACCAGACATGGAAGAAATAGTTCAGCAACAACAGCTAGAAGAGCCTGAAGGAAACAAACAAGTCCCTCCTTTGGAAACTAACTTCACAGAACTAGATGAAGATTTGGAACAGCCGAAAAATCTTGACCCTCAACAAGTGTATGCGGGGAATATGGAATCTTTCCAAGAGTCTAAGAAAAATTCGGCTGACATAGTAGAAGAATATCGAAAAATGTTCGCCGACATACAAAAGACTCCAACATCAGATGAAAATATTCAGCATAGAATGGAAGTACTGAAAGAAAATGTACGCAAATACAACAATCCTTTTTACTTACGACCATATAACGTTCAATCTTTGGCTGAACTCGGTGAAAATAAAAGGTTAAATTTCAACAAAACATATAGAAATGAAACATTGTTTAAAGTTCATTCAGAACCTAACCAATATGGAAACAAACCTACTTTTGTTTCTGCAGACTATGGAACTACAATGAGATGGGGTCATAAAGCTAATCCGGATAGGTGGTTCATAAACTTACAACCACAATTCCAAGAAGTTGTAGACGCAATGGAAGTGAATGGTGAACCAGATATAGCTGGTATTTTCAGCGCGGCTTTAATGCCATTGAAAGATATGAAAGATGCAGATATTTTGAACCAGTATGAAATGAACATGGCTGATGGAAATATAACACCTGACGTTCTAGAACATTTATCTCAAAGAACTACACAGAACTATAGAGATGGTATATTTGGTGAAGAGTTTAGAAAGAAAGTTAGGGAGAGAGAAGGAAGAGAACCTAGAGCAGCTTCCATCGAGCAGATTTTGGCAGCAGGTCAGTAAGTTGTTCTTGAACTGACTTCTCTCCGTCAAATATTGACAGTACGCCAGTTTTGACATAATATTGTAAGATAAACTTACCTTTAGAAATATCTGTAAGTTTTGAAGTTATATTTTTGTCTGCTTCAAGAACTTTCACCATTTCAGTTATACCAACTTTCTTTGCTTTATGAAAATATTTAGGTTCAGCAAAGACTGCTATTCTATAACATTTACCATTGTTTGTATAAAGAACTATTCTGTCAATGTATTTGTATTGTTTGTGTGTGTAAACTTTGTTCTGCTTCAATTCGAAAAGATACTCGAATGCGTCCATATTTTTATTCTAAGTAAAATGTCATTTCCGAAAAATAGAAGCGTAAGTGTTTCAAAAGGTTTAATGGCGGTGGCAGATGTGAAGTTAAATTCACCAACTCAAACAAACAGTCAAAGTGTTATTGTCAATGTCAAAGACAGAGATGTTGAAGTGGGGAAACCATACGAGGACGAAGATGGTATAACAATTGTTCCTGTAAAAGAACAACCAACATATCCTGAAGTTAGCAGAGACTTAAGTTCTGTTGCAGATATTCGAAACGACTACCAACAACTGAAAGACAAACTTCAAACTCAGGAGAAGATTTGTCAAGCTTTAAGTATAATGTTAAACTTGGTCGAACACAACCCTGTAAAAGTGAACTCAATATGTCATTGCACCTCATGAAGTCTTGAAAGAACTATTGAAACTTTTGACAGAGGCAGACGATATAAACATCAAAGAAATAGAACCCGACATTAGTTGCTGTGGTGTTTCATATAATGTCATTGACAAGATATACGTTATGAAAGGAGGTGAAACGTTGAACTTAAAGTATAGTTTCCCAGACGTCATAAAAATATTTGACGACCACAACATTTCATTAAAATTTATTTGCTAAGTAAAAATGTCAAAACTTCTTGAAAGATGTTTGAAGAAAAATAATATAGACTTTATTTCATGTAAAGGACTTTACACACTTTTGAACGATATGAAAGACCCTGTTTTGTTTGTTCGTGTAGACAAAGGAAAGTTCTATGTATTTACAAAATATTTGAACTTCTTAGACAGAGAACTTCAAGAAACGCCATGTGAAAGTTTAGATGAAGTTCTTCTCCACTTTCAGAAAAACTTTTAAATATATATAAATGGCAGAAGACATAATGGTTTATACTATTACGACTAAAAACCCTGAGTCATATATATCTTATAACAACAAACTTACAAAGTCCTCAAGGACGATATTGTAAACTAACCTTAAACACAATGACGACTAAAGCCTGTTTTGCTCTTTTGACACCAGAAGACTTTATTGTTGTGAATGGTAAAAAATACTCCTTTGAAGATACTTACTCAGATATACCACCAACAGGTTTTGTTGACTTATTTAATACTTTAAGTACGGGTGTAACATGTGCTGCAACTAGAGCAGGTTTCATTATGTTTGGATGTCCGACTGAGTTTACTATAAACGATATGAGCTATAATACAAAACTTATTTCTGGTTTTTACTACCAACAGTTTCCTATAACAGGAAAAGGTGTCATACAAGGAATGTCTATTCCATTGACATTAAGCACACCAATCTTATATATTGTTTCAAACTTAGGTTCAAAGTGTTATTCGAATGTCGACAGAAACTATTATGACCAAAAGATACTTATGCGTATAAACAATACTTTCTCTGCTGGTTTGCCTATTGTTCATTCGAATGCAGAATTTTCAACCTTAGTGAACTCAAACACTTTGGCAAGTATAACGTTGACATTAGTTGACGCAAACTTTGTTCCTGTAAAACTTTTATGTCCTATGTATTTGTCAATGACGGCAGAAAGTTTCGAATTGGATGCAACTGGTGAAAGTATTGTATTACAAGAACAACTTCAACAACAAATAGCTCAAGAAACAATGCAACAAATGCAACAACAAAGTCAAGAATAAAAAAAAATATTTTTTTTTATTTTTATAAAAATGTACAGAATAGATGTTTCAGATTTTTATGACTTCCAAGCATTCAGAAATATGTGTCCATTTCGAGACTATAACAAAGCAGTCGAGAATTTGAAACGTTTAGTCATTTATGTTGACTCTGCCCCAGAATGTTATGTTATGAAAGAATGGGATGTAGTCTTTAACAAACCTAAAGCGACAATAGTGTCTGAACAAGAATGTAGACAGAAACTTAAGAAAATAAAAGTCGTACAAGTTGGCATGAAGATGTTAGATGCTTGGGATATCTTATTGTCAAAGTTAGAAGATTTTTCAGTTCGAGGTATAAAGTTCTATACACCTTCTCCAAACTTCTATTCTATCTTCACTGGATATAAATATGAACAAGTAGAATGGAAAGAAAATATTATAGAAGCTTGGTTAGACCATGTCAAAGAAATTATATGCAATGGAAACGAAAGAGTCTATGAGTATATCTTATGTTGGTTTGCAAACATCTTACAACATCCAAGTGCTAAAAATGAAACTGCTCTCATTATAATTGGAAAACAAGGAACTGGTAAGAACACATTCTTTACAGATATCTTATGCAAACTATTAGAGGGCTATTCGAATCCGAATATGACAAACTTAGAAAACATCTGTGGCAAGTTTAACTCCTCAATAGAGAATATGAAACTTATAGTTTGCAATGAACTTCAAAGTATAGATACAACAAAAGTTTTGAACTCAGATGCTTTGAAGAGTCTTATAACAGATAAAGTTGGAGTTGTTGAAAGAAAATATAAAGACCAAAGAGTTTGTGAAAATGTTGCAAACTTCATTATGGTTTCAAACAATGCTGTTCCGATGAAGTTAGAAAGTTCTGACAGAAGATATGTAGTTGTCAGAACGTCAGATTCTCATATGCAAGATACAGAATATTTTGACGACTTAGCAGAAACTTTGACATCTGACTTTTACAACCACTTGTTCTCATATTTCATGACATTAGATATTTCTAAGTTCAATCCAAGACAAATTCCACATACCGAAGAGAGACAAACATTGTTAGAAGCAAACAAGAGTGTATATGAACTGTTCATAGATGAAACTGACTTTGAGTGTTTAGATGAAAGGTCATTGTACGATTCGTATAAACAATATTGTCAAGAATATGGTTATATGACAGCGTCTAAACGAACATTCTTGGCAAATGTCAAAAGTCTTTTAGACGAACAGAATGGTGTATATACAAAGAAAAATTTTTCTGAGTAAATTTTAAAAAAAAATATTTTTTTATCCGATAGAAAAAGATGACAGAAAAATTAACTTTTTACATAGCGCCAGACCCTTCTTGCCCACATCTTTTTAAGCCACAATATATAGACATAGAACTAAATAGAGAAAGCGAAATTCTACAAACAGAAGAAAGCGAAATTCCACAAACAGAAGAAAGCGAAATTCTACAAACAGAAGAAACATATAGAGACCTAGATAACGAAAATGGATATGCGCTATTCTGGTTAGATTGTCCTTATGAAATGTATGAAAAAAAGGCTTTATATGAAGAATATAGAAAATATTGTCATGAAAACAATATAAGACCAAGCTCTAGAGAAAAATTCTATGCTGGTATAAAACATCTTTTCGAAGTTCGGAATGGCAAATATAGAAAGAAATAATTTTTCTGAGTAAATTTTTTAAAAAAATATTTTTTTATCCGATAGAAAAGATGACAAAATTCATCTCAGTAAACAAGTACATGTCAGGACTTAAAGAAGAACTAGACCCATTCACATATTTGAATGTTTACTTCTACCATTTTGAAAAGTCTTCATTCAGCAAAGTTTGGAACATCGAACCAGTTAAGTTTGCTATTGTGACTAAAAATGGTGCGAAATTTGAAGACTTAGACATAGAAGGTTTGTTAGCAGTCAAAGAAAGTTTTGACAGAAGGTTTTCAAACCTTAAAGAAGGCAAAGCATACAAACTTGTTATACCTTATGAACCAAAGAAAGCAGACGACTATGAATATTATGAGTCTAAAGTTGTAGAAGTTCAAGGTAAATTGGGTAAAAAGATTTTAGAGTCTAAGCCAGTGTTTACTCCTAAAGAGGAAGAGAACATTGACATTGACCCAGAAATGTTCTAAAAATAAAATTTTATTTTTACATGTCAAATTTCTTTTTCTCTGGAATTGGCTCGGGTTCTTTCTTCTCTTCTTCTACTTTCTTTTCTCTCTTCTTCTTTTCTGGTGGAGTTATGTCAAACTTCTCAGAACCATATTTTTGTAAAAGTTCTTTGTCCTTTAATAGCTCTTCTATTCTGTTTTCTATTTCATCTTCAAGAACAGCGCATGTGTCTTCTTTGCATTCTAAGAACTTTTGTTGGACTTCATCTTTCCAATCGGCGTCATCTCTGTCAACAAGTCTGTCATTGACAAATTTTAAGACTGCTCTGCTTAATGTTTTATGGTTCTTGTCATATTCCCAGAAACAGAACTTTAGAACAAATTCACCTTTCTTGTTTACACTATGTAAGATTTTATGGTCGACAGATGTTTTGCTGTCAAAAAGTTTGTCTCGAATATAGATAGCGAAATCGCTAGACATTTTCTAAAAGATAAAAATTTTAATTTTTCTAAAAATATGTTAGAAAAAAAGTTTGCTGACATTGACAAGAAATTTGAGAATGTTTTAAATAAGAACAAGAGGAAGTTAGAAAATGCTCAGATAAAGCCTATACATGACAAGTTCTTATTTGCTCAGAATGGTATAACAGGTCTAATTGCACCACCTGGGTCGGGTAAGACTTTCACTTATCTTAAAATGGCTGCACAACAACAAGAACTAGATGAGAAGAACCATTTTATGAGTTAGTTGTCATTTGTAGTACTTCTGGTCAATTTGACCAAACCGTCAATTCGTTCAAAGATATTATAAAGAAGTCTAAGTTAGTATGTATAAAAGACTCTGAGTTGTTAGATTGGATAAAGAAGTACCAAAGAAGAGTTTTGAAGTATAATGCTATAAATGAGTATATAAATTCTAAGTTTAAAGACCCAAATGAGGAAATGCAGAGAATATTAGAGAAGAAACACTTCAGAAACAAACAGAAAGAGATAGAATACATTTCGAAGAAATTGCAATCTTACGATTGGAAGACATACCCTCATAGGTGTCTTCTTATCTTAGATGATTTCGCCTCTCATCCTTTGTTAAAGAATAGAGAACAAGATATGTGTCGAATTCTTAAGAAACTTAGGCACTTTAACATCTCAGTTGTCATTTGTGTACAGACAGCAAAGAGTTTAAGTAAGGATGTTAAAAGAATACTTACTGACATTGTACTTTTCCCCGGATTGTCCGAAGACGATTTCATGGAACTTATGAAAGAGTCCATGGCAGGTAAGTTTGACAGACATGAACTATGGGAGAAGTACAAAGTCATACAAGACCCTCATACTTCTTTCAGAATTCATATCTACGCAAACAAAGTTCAAATTGTAAAAAGTCAAGCTTGAAAAATGTAAGTGTTTAGTCTTAGTAAGTAAGTCTGTTGTGGTGCTGGGGCTGTCGGTTCTTCTGGCTTTGGAAGGCATTCAGGAAGAGGAACGTCAGTCATCTGTTTGTGTCCTGTCGGAAGGAAAATTTTTTCTTGTCGGAAGGAAAATTTTTTCCTGTCGGATGGAAAATTTTTTTCTGAAGTTCGACCAAAAAGTTCTCAATTTTCGAAAATTTGAATGGTTTACGGACGGACAACTGGAAAATTTTTTCTTGTCGTCGGGAAAAATTTTTTCTGTCGGAAGGAAAAACTTTTTCTGTCGGAAGGAAAATATTTTCCAGTTGTCGGGAAAAATTTTTCCTGTCGGATGGAAGGACTCGGAATGCCAGAAGGATTTGACGAGGCAATTTACCTAATTGAGCTACTTGAGCCATCTGAAGTCAAGCGTAAAAATAAAGAGTGCAATTTACCCTGCTTGTTTGAAGTTGTCAAAATACTCTGTTATTTTTTCCTTTAACATGGCAAATCTCTTTGAATGTAAGTATTGTACAACCTTTCATATCATAGTGTGTTTGAGGTAACGTATCTTGAACTATTGTTTCACATCTTCATTTGGGTCATTGAAATCGGTAAGTTTTCGCGATAGAACCAATTTCTGTCAGATTTGTAAATCTTAGCAAGGTCGTAAAAGCTTTTGTGTTTCTTCTGACTAAATGCAACATAACCATGTCACTGTCTTCTTCTTTCTCCATATCTTCAGTATAAATCATATACTTATAGTTCTTTTCCTTTCCTTTTGGTACCGAACGTGGTATTCTTTTCTGAATGCTTTTGTCTTTTGCTTCAATGACTTCATCTTTTGCTTGAAGTTTCTTTTCCATCTCTTCACGTTCTTGTCTATGAATTTCGTCAAGAAGTCTGTAAATATACCAAGCATAACGAGGCGAAGCCCACATTGCAACAGCATTTACAAGAAGTCTATGTACATAATATCCTCTCAAACCATTTGGCAAATTTTTACGATTTTCATGTGTTTTATGCAAGACCGAAAAAAGTCGGTCTAGAGAAATTTCACTCAAAAGTTCTTGTGTGCTTTGGTTTTTGAACCAGTCGTCTGCGTGTTTAGTATCTGGAGCAAAACATGCTGTCAAAATACTTTGCATTTGGTACATATCGTCTTTGACCGAACGAATGAGACGTAACTGTTTGTTAAACTGAACCCACTCATATTCTTCATTTATAGCTTCATGAACGATAGCAGTTGTTGTGTTCTCTGATGTTGACATATCTGTCCTTACATACAAAATAAAAAAATAAATAAAAATAAAACTAACTTTATTTTTTCTATCTTAAGGAAAAATTCATGATTTCATAGAGTTTGGCGACCCAGATAAAAGTCGGTCTCGCTGTGCTTCATGATTTTCATAGAGTTTTGGCGACCCAGATAAAAGTCGGTCTCGCTGTGCTTCATGATTTTCATAGAGTTTTGGCGACCCCGAAGGAAGTCGGTCTCGCTGTGCTTCGCTGTTTTCAGAAAAAAGTCGGTCTCGCTGTTCTTCACTGTTTTCATACGGAATCTCTTCTCTCGGTTTTCCGAGGGAAGCAATCTTATGCCATTTTACTCAGAATTTTGTGCTGAATTCAGCAAAAATATATTTTAGGTGAAGAGGTGAGATCTCACCTGTTTTTTCACCTCTTTTTTCACAAGCGTTTTACATGGTAAACGTTATTTTTACATTATGACACGAAGTGAACGTTTGCACTTCGTCAAAAAAATCCCTGAAATCATGTCTTTTATACAAAAAAATACAAAAAAATGACACTAACTTTATTTTCTATCTTTCACAAAAGACCAAAAATAAACGCTTTACATGTATTTTTCAGCAACTTCGTCAAATAATTTTATAGCTTTATCTATCTCATCTACTTCAAACGTTTCTTTACCTTTTATGGGAGCACCATACATTTTCTCAAACTTTTCAAGTAGTTCTGTTTCTGCAGCTCTCATATCATTAGCAAACACAACCTTGACTATAATTGACTGTACTGTCATATCTTTGAGTTATATTATATGTTCTTCCTATCTTATATCTTTTTGTATTGAAGTCCTTCGGTTTCTGAAGATGTAAAGTAAGCCTTCACTGCAACGTTCCGTATCGAATGAACCATATGTTATGAAGTTATATCCAACAACTGGGTCTAACCATAACAAAACTATTGGTATAAGACTTTTGTCGATGAGATATGCTGCAGTTCCATAGAATCTTACCGATATCATAAGCTCAGGATTTCTTGTCAAAATTTTCTGAGTAGAAGCAATTCTAACCCAGTCCTTTGTTTTCTTTCCAGATGGAGATATAATGTCTGACAAAGAATATTTGTTGTATTTCTTTGAGTATCTTACGTTTAAATCACCTATTCTAACCAATTTGGTGTCATTGTCTATCTTTTTAACTGTTTCAAACTCATTGTTTGACATATCTTTCTTTACATACAAAATAAAAAAAATAAATAAAAATAAAACTAACTTTATTTTTTCTATCTTAAGGAAATTCATGACAAATTCAAGAGGTTAGAAAACGTGTTAGAAAACGTGTTAGATCTAACATTCTAACATAAACTTTATTTTTGGGTCCTTTACACTCATTACGAAGAAGTCTTGACAAAACATTTACGAAGAAGTCATGAAAATTCAAGAGGTGAAAAAACATTTACGAAGAAGTCATGACAAAACATTTACGAAGAAGTCTTGACAAAACATTTACGTTCATGTTTGACAAAGCATATACGAAGAAGTCTTGACAAAACATTTACGTTCATGTTTGACAAAGCATATACGTTCATGTTTGACAAAGCATATACGAAGAAGTCTTGACAAAACATTTACGAAGAAGTCATGAAAATTCAAGAGGTGAAAAAAGAGGTGAAAAAACATTTACGAAGAAGTCATGAAAATTCAAGAGGTGAAAAAAGAGGTGAAAAAACATTTACGAAGAAGTCTTGACAAAACATTTACGAAGAAGTCATGAAAATTCAAGAGGTTAGAAAACGTGTTAGAAAACGTGTTAGATCTAACCATCTACCCGACATTCTCGTCAAATACAAAAAAATACAAAAAATGACACTTTTTCATTAGATAACTGTTATTTTTTGACGAAGTGAAGATTGACACTTCGTC